CCCCCCCCCACACACACACATCATCTCCTGCCGGCCTGCTGGAATGAGGTCAGAGGTGATCCGTCACTCAGACACAATTATTCCTCCCCCTCTGCCTCGCTTTCTTCTATTATCCATCCGTTCCGTCCCACTCCAACCCAACACAATCCCTACGATGCGCTACAATACTGTAAAATACTCCACAGCGCTGTAAAACACTAAAAAATGTAACGGTGCTGTAAAATACTCTAGTAAAACGTCATAAAATACTCCACAGCACTGTAAAACACTAAAATATTCAACAATACAGTTAAATACTCTGGTAAAACACCATAAAATACTCCACAGTGCTGTAAAACAATGTAAAATATTTAATAGCACTGTCAAATTTAATATTTTAAAACAACAGAAAATACTCCACAGCGCCGTAAAACACTAAAATATTCAACAATACAGTACAATACTCTAGCAAACACCAGAAAATACTCCACAGTGCTGTAAAACAATGTAAAATATTTAATAGCACTGTCAAATTTAATATTTTAAAACAACAGAAAATACTCCACAGCGCCGTAAAACACTAAAATATTCAACAATACAGTAAAATACTCTAGCAAACACCATAAAATACTCCACAGTGCTGTAAAACAATGTAAAATATTTAATAGGACTGTCAAATTTAATATTTTAAAACAACAGAAAATACTCCACAGTGCCGTAAAACACTAAAATATTCAACAATACAGTAAAATACTCTAGCAAACACCATAAAATACTCCACAGTGCTGTAAAACACTAAAATATTCAACAATACAGTAAAATACTCTAGCAAACACCATAAAATACTCCACAGTGCTGTAAAACAACGTAAAATATTTAATAGCACTGTAAAATACTGTAAAATACTCTAGTTAAAACAACAGAAAATAATCCACAGTGCTGTAAAACACTAAAATATTCAACAATACAGTTAAATACTCTGGTAAAACAACAGAAAATACTCCACAGTGCTGTAAAACACTAAAATATTCAACAATACAGTTAAATACTCTGGTAAAACAACAGAAAATACTCCACAGTGCTGTAAAACACTACAATAGTCAACAGTGCTGTAAAATACTCTAGAAAAACACCATAAAATACTCTGCAGAGCTGCAAAACACTGTGATATGCTCTGCAGTACTCCAGCTCTATTGTAAGTGTTTGTTACACACACACACACACACTTTAGTTTAATGTGATCTCAAGTGTCTGTGTGTGCGGCTTTAGTTCATTCACTTCCTGTGGGGTATGTGTGCATTTCTTGTCTTTTATCTATGTGAAATATGAAATGTCAAAAAATGATTTTGATAAAACACACACAAACACCCGTCTGCCTGTGTGTGTGTCTCTCCATCTGGCTGTCGTGTGTGTGTCTGTATCGCAGCTGCTGCTCAAACCAGACGAGCTCACCAGACCATCTACAAGCCCCTCCCATATGTTAATGAGGCTAGAGGTGACCTGGGGGTGGGGGGGGTCAGAGGTCAGAGGTCACAGTCAAAGCCCTTTGTCACAGTCAAACACTGCTCCACTGCTCTAATAGAGAATAGAGAGAGAGTGTGTGTGTGTGGAAATGAAGCCTGGTCTCTGGTTAGCTATTGTTCAGTTTCCTGTGTAACAGGAAGTGCATCAGTCATTAATATCCTCACACTCTGACAATAATTGAAGTTAGAAATACTTAGCTTTTCTGATGAGTCTGTCTCTGTGCAGTGCTTCAGTTACACTAAACTGAACTGAACCCCAGGTTTGACTCGTGTGATAGTGTGTGTGTTTATAGTACCTTGCACCACCAGACGTCCCAGCGCGGTTCTCCTCATCCTGGTTCCGGGTCGGTTGGCGGAGCAGACGTACACACCTGAGTGCTGCAGAGGTTATAGTTCACATTACAGTAATTATCATTATAATGATATTCATTGTTGATATAGTTATAGTAATTGTTATCATTTTAGTAATTAGCATTATCGATATAGTTATCGTTATAGTTATTATTGTTATTGTTATAGTAATTATCATTATTGTTATTGCTATAGTTCCTATAGTTATCATTATTATCATTATAGTTATTGTTATCGTTATAGATAGTTAGCATTATAGTTCTTCAAAGACAACAAACAGTTGTTGAGTGGATGAATCGAAATGAGATATATTGAGTTGTTTTAGCTGATTTTATCTCGTTTTGTCATCTTGAGCTCTTCATGTGGTTTTTACCCAGCCTGCTCCAGGACACGATGGGCCGCGGGTTTCCAGTGGCGATGCACTCCAGGATGGCGGTCTGGTGAACGTTCAGAGTGAGATTCTGCGGCCCAGAGAGAATCACCGGCTCCTTGTAGAGACGATTAGCTGCGACTGAGACAGAGACAGAGACGGGTCATTCAGAGACGCTCAGCGGTTCGGATCGTATCATCAGATGAAGAACGGCCTTGGCTCTACCTGTGACTGACAGCTGAGCCTCGTGACTGTAGCGAGTGTTTGCGATGTTTTTAGCGACGCAGCGGTAGCTGCCGCTGTCAGCCTGACGCACTCCTGTGATGTGCAGGATACCGTTGGGCAGGAGAGTGTACCTGAACACACATACAGCACATTCACACAAAATCAATTACTATAACCATAAAGTTTCAAAAAATTGTGAATAGTTCACACCACAACTATAACGACACAGAGGAACGATATCACTGGAATCACTGTCAGAGCGATTGTTTTCAGCTGATGAACGAATAGACATGAACATTATCGTCCACTGGTGCAGACACTAATATAGCTATCATTATAGTTAAAATTCATAGTTAAAATTAGCTTTACCATTCTTATCATTATAGTTATTAATATAGTTAGTGTTATAGCTACTGTTTTCATTGTAGATATAGTTGTCATTTTTATAGTTACGTAATCATTAGTTATAGTTATTGTTATAGCTATCATTACAGTTATCATTATAATTATTATCATTATAGTTAAAGTTACCGTTATTCTCATTGTTATCGTTATAGTTATAATCATCATTATAGTTAGTTATCGTTATTGTTTTCTTTATTGCTGGTTATAGTTAGCTATCATAATCACTGTAAATATCATTATTGTTATAGTTACCATTATAATTATCATTATATTTATAGTTATTATATATCATTGTTATCGTTATAGTTAGTTATCGTTATTATTTTAGTTAGCGTTATAGTTAGCATTATCATTACAGTTATCGTTATAATCATTATCATTACAGTTAAAGTTATCGTTATTTTCATTATTATCGTTATTGATATTATTGTTACAGTTTTTATCATCATTATAGTTAGTTATCGTTATCTTTATTTCTGGTTATAGTTAGCTACCATAATCATTATAAATATCATTATTGTTATAGTTACCATTATCGTAATAGTTATCATTATTGTTATATTTATTATTATTATAGTTATCATTGTTATTGTTATAGTTAGTTATCATTATTATTCTAGTTAGTTATCGTTATGGTTACAGTTATTGTTATCGTTAGCATTATAGTTAGCATTATCATTATAGTTATAGCTATCATTACAGTTATCGTTATAATTATTATCATTATAGTTAAAAGTTATCGTTATTTTCATTGTTATCGTTATTGATATCATTGTTATTGTTACAGTTTTTATCATCATTATACTTAGTTATCGTTATTGTTATCTTTATTGCTGATTATATCATTATTGTCATAGTTACCATTATCGTTATTTTAGTTATCATTGTTATCGTTATAGTTAGTTATCATTATTATTATAGTTAGTTATCGTTATTATTATAGTTAGTTATCGCTATGGTTACAGTTATTATTATCGTTAGCATTATAGTTAGCGTTATAGATATTATCATTATAGTTATTTTGTCAGTTATTGTTATATTCATTGTTCTACTTCTCATTATTATTATCATTAGTTATGTTTAGTTTCGTTATAGTTATCAGTCATCATTATAGTTATTGTTGTTTATAGTTTTGTTATATTTATATTTATCGTAATAGTTATTGTTTTTGTTATAGTCATCATACTCATTATAGTTAGTGCTATGGTTACAGTTATTATTATCGTTAGCATTATAGTTAGCGTTACAGATATTATCATTATAGTTATTTTGTCAGTTATTGTTATATTCATTGTTCTACTTCTCATTATTATTATCATTACAGTTATGTTTAGTTTCGTTATAGTTATCAGTCATCATTATAGTTATTGTTGTTTATAGTTTTGTTATATTTATATTTATCGTAATAGTTATTGTTTTTGTTATAGTCATCATACTCATTATAGTTACCATTACATTCATTGTTATAGTTCTCATTATTGTTCTCATTATAGGTATGTTTATAGTTTTGTTATAGCTTTTATTATAGTTATTGTTTATCATTACAGTTATTGTTATGTTTACAGTTATTTTTGGTGTGAACAGGCCTTAAACGCAGATAATCCAGAGTTGGTTTCTGACTTTGGGGAAAAAAACACATAAATGTAACACATAAATGTTCATTCCTGTTCAACATATTTAATATATTGTTGTGTTTGTTTCAGGCTTTATTCATGTACCTGTTATCATCAGCGTTGAGAGCTGTTCTGTTTCTTTCCCAGGTGATGTTGGCCTCTGGGACGCCGCTGACGGCGCAGTGAAATCGAGCGACGCCACCCTCGTCCACACTCATGGATTCTGGGTGTGTGTGGAACTTGGGCAACGCTGAGAGAGAAGACAAATATCACATCACATGAGTTACAGATGCTCAAATCACTCCAAACACAGACCCTACATCCCTCTAAAACCACCAGCTAACCACATTAGGCTGGTTTAAGCAGGTGTATCAACTTTGTCATGTCTGTTTCTCCTAAAGCAGACTCAGGATAATAAATGAGAGAAACTATTGAGATATTAGAGAGCTTTTTCTTTCTGAAGCGTGTTTGTGTCACTCACAGGCCAGCTGCACATGTGCTTTGCGGCTGATGAGCAGCCCGTATCGGTTCTGCGCCGCACAGTCGTACTCGCCAGCGTCGCTCTCGTCACCGTCGCGCCGTTTCTGGAAGTTCCGGATCAGGAGCGTCCCGTTATCCAGCACGGCCGCTCTGGCTCCCAGAGGAACGGGAACGCCGTTCCGCCGCCAGGTGATGGTGATAGGCCCCTCCCCCTCTACCTGACATTCCAGCATGAGGGGGCGGTCCCTCACTGCGATGACATCACTGGGTTCTTTAATGAAGGCCAACTCTGAAGCTCCGCCCAAACCTGCAAGACGACAACAGGAGAGTGTGATGACGAGGAATTAAACAGAGAGACATCCGTCTGAGTAATCTGAGAGGAACTGATGCTTACGAACGATTCATGATGATGATGATGATGATGATGTATCATGACGGATGATGAAAACCTGATGGAGGAAAACTGTTACTCATATCACATCACCAGTGTTGGGCAGTAACCAATTACTAGTAACTTAGTTACTGTAATAATATACTTTTTGCAGTAACTAGAAGTGTAACTAATTACTAATAAGATTTCCTAATAAGTTACCATCCACAAAACAGCTTAGTTACTTTTGATGCCTCAACCCTGATTTAAAATCCAACAATCAAATAATTCCTAGATTTATTTTCATAATTTTCATCACTCGCACATGCATGTGATGTCCCCAGTGCAGCAGGCAAGCTTGGAATATGTAATATGGAAACTTACATTCAGCAGATAGAAATATTGCATTATATTGATTTTGTCAGGAAAAAAGATGATCTGAACACTGTTGTGTAAGTTGTGGCTGGACTTTACTCTGGCATTACATCCCTCTGATCAGCATGTGGTACATTATATTACTATAATTAAAAATCTTTTTGGAAAATTGAACAGTTTCTAACAGACTTTTGTGATTTTATAAAATACATAATGAAATATAATCGTATATGGGTAACAGAGAAATTACAATTAGCTTCAAGCTACACATGACAATTAATGAGATTAATACAACACTTCTACTTGAATGTCACTATCAATCACTATTGAGTGTTTGTAATAACTTCTGACTGCGATCTAATGGATTTTGGTCAAATGATGAGGCAGAAATATGTTGTTAGTAACATTCTAGAGGAATTTTATGTGGAAGATACACAGTTACAACAACTGTTGGGGCATGAAGAAAAAGTAATGTAACTAGTAGTGTAACTATTTACTAATAGTACTAGTAATTAGTTACTAATACTAATAGTAACTAATTACTGTTACCAGAAAGTAATAAGTAACAATATTACTTTTGAAAGGAGTAACTAGTAATGAGTAATATATTACATTCTTTGAGTAACTAGCCCAACACTGCACATCACATATAACATAATGGAGCAGAACTGATACAGAACCGAATAAGATACACAAGCAAAGCTTTATAATCATATCAAATATGAAGATGAACTATTTTTAAATTCAGTATTTTTAATTATATATATTCACTGCAAAAAGCAATGCTCTTCCTCAATATTTTTCTCATTTTGAATTTTCTGATCCCATTGGCAGATATTTATTCTTGTTAACCGTAAAAAAACTGACCTCAAACACCCAAAAAAAACCCAAACAAAACATGTATACAGTTGTTAGTTTCTGTTATAGTTATACTTACACTTACTGCTAGTGTGGATGATAATATAGATATCGTTATAGTTATCTTTATCTTTATAGATTTGTTATAGTCTCATTATAGTTGTTGTAATTGTTATTGTGATAGTAATCATTGGCAGTCAGATAAGGTTGCAAAGGGGCAGAACATTTCCAGTAAATTTCCTGAAACTTTGGAAAAGTATCCAAAAATTTTCAGAAAGTTTCCAAAACTCTGGAAAATTTACTGGAAATTTTCTTCTATTTATTCTTGTTTTAAGCATAAAAACAGACCTCAAACACCAAATAAAACCACAAACAAAATGTTTATATTTATAGTTATAATTACAGTTACCACTATAGTTATCGTTATAGTTATCAGTATCATTTACAGATATTTGCTCTTGTTTTAAAGGGGTCATATGATGCTGCTAAAAAGAACATTATTTTGTGTATTTGGTGTAATGAAATGTGTTTATGCGGTTTAAGGTTCAAAAAACACATTATTTTCCACATACTGTACATTATTGTTTCTCCTCTATGCCCCGCCTTTCTGAAACGCGTCGATTTTTACAAAACTAATCGGTCTGAAAAGCGAGGTAAGAATATCTCTTTGGTTTTGAGACTTTAGTCTTTGCAACTTTAGGGATCTTATCTATTCACGAACAGCTTGTAACACTCCAAAGAGAAAGGAAAACTTGAAATCGCATCATATGACCCCTTTAAGCATAAAAACAGACAAAAAAAAAAACACATACAAAAGGTTAAACTCCATGAAGTGCATTTCTGAATCGATATTCCCATTCATAAAAAAGATTGTGAAGTTTATTTAGTCCTCAAACACACTCTTGCATCAGTAGACGGTGTTTGTCTTGTGCTTGAGTAGCTGATGTGATGTGATGGAGGCAGGGCTGGTTGGATTTAGAGTGTCTTAAATCAAAGCGATTCATCTCCACTGAACTTAAACTTGACTTTGGGCCGTCTGATTGATGGCTCTTTCAGAAGCACTCACACAAACACACACAAAACCCTCCATCAGCCCAAAACAGCCACACAATGCGGCCGCACCCCACCCCCCCACAAACACACCCTCCAGATCTGCCCCGGCCCATCATTCCTGCCCCGTCTGAAGAGCCATCTGCCCCTCCTCCGCCCCGTGGCGCAGCGCGAGGGTGACTTTCCCATGCCACCGCATCAGTCAAACGCGCCGCACGCCGCCCCTCGCAGCTGCCAAACACACAACAAAACACTCCGGTCACACTTGAACTTGAACGTGCTCGCACGGAAAAACCAGACTCCTGTACCTCTGCACTCGTCTGGCATCTGGACCGGAGTCTGACCTCAGAACATGAGCCGGGTCTCCTCAGACCAGATGAACTCTCTGACAGGAATCAAACTAAACCCTCATCAAACTCTCACGCAGGATCCAGAGAGCAGCTTCCTGCTGGATTCATGGGATTTAAGGCCCATTCACAAGAACGCTAATGATAACTATAACTAATGATAACTAATAACAATAACTATTAAAAAACTATATTAGTGTCTACACAAATGGACAAAAACTACAGTATAATGAAAACTATAACAATAACTATAATCATAACTAGAGCAATAATGATAAATATGACAATTACGATAGATTCGTTATGGTCTCATTATAGTTATTGTTGTTATTGTTATAGTAACTAGAGCAATAATGATAAATATGACAATTACGATAACTATAATAACTGTAATGATGACTATAACTATATTGGTGTCCACACAAACAGATGAAAACTATAACAAAAACTATAACAATAACTATTATCATAACTACTGTAGTTATGATTATAGTTATTGTTATAGTTACCATCTATTTGTTTAACTACAATGATAAATATAAATATAGCTGCAAGCAGCAATCACGGAGCCAAGCACTCCAGAGGCAAATTGAGAAGCTAAGCATGGCATGGAGCATCAGACCAAATGCAATAATGAGTAATAAAAGCAAATTTAAGATGATTGTAATTGAAATGGCTGAAAAATCATAAATACAACCACTAGTAATATGATT